TTTGGGGGGTTTTGGTACCAACAGTTAAGGAATTAGGGGCCAAAAAGGGGCCAAAAATAAGCATTTTTGTAACTTCCAGACATAACTTGTGTGTTAGTGTATGGATCTCTCGGACATTGTACCACAAGGTTCCATATCACAAAGGGAATGCTGGGATTGATTTTGGGGGTAATTGCCTCAAAATTTTAGGAATTAGGGGCCAAAAAGGGCAAAAAAACAAGCATTTTTCTTGTTTTATGAAAATAACTTGTGTGTAAGTGTATGGATCTGTATGAAATTGTACTATAAAATTCCATATCACAAAGGGAATGCTGGTATAGATATTGGGGGTAATTGCCTCAAAATTTTAGGAATTAGGGGCCAAAAAGGGGCAAAAACAAGCATTTTTCTAGTTGTATGACAATAACTTGTGTGTAAGTGTATGGATCTTTATGAAATTGTACTACAAAATTCCATATCACAAAGGGAAAGCTGGAATTAAGTTTGGGGGTAATTGCCCAAAAGGTTAAGGAATAAGGGGCCAAAAATAAGCATTTTTCTAGTTTGCAGACAATAACTTGTGTTCAATTGTTCAATTGTATGGATCTCTCTAAAATTGTACTGCAAGGTACCATACCACAAAGGGAAGGCTGGGATTGATTTTGGGGGTTATTGCCTCAAAATTTTAGGAATTAGGGGCCAAAAAGGGGCAAAAAAACAAAGCATTTTTCTAGTTTTATGACAATAACTTGTGTGTAAGTGTATGGATCTTTATGAAATTGTACTACAAAATTCCATATCACAAAGGGAAAGCTGGAATTGAGTTTGGGGGTAATTGCCCAAAAGGTTTAGGAATAAGGGGCCAAAAATAAGCATTTTTCTAGTTTGCAGACAATAACTTGTGTTAAATTGTTCAATTGTATGGATCTCTCTAAAATTGTACTGCAAGGTACCACACCACAAAGGGAAGGCTGAGATTGATTTTGGGGGTAATTGCCTCAAAATTTTAGGAATTAGGGGCCAAAAAGGGGCAAAAAACAAGCATTTTTATACAACCGTTCTAGTTTCAGGACAATAACTTGTGTCTAAGTGTATGGATCTCTCTGAAATTGTACTACAAGGCTCCATATCACAAAGGGAAAGCTGGGTTTGAGTTTTGGGATAATTGCCCTTATCGTTTAGGAATTTGGGGCCAAAAAGGGGCCTAAAAACAAACATTTTTCTAGTTTCCAGACAATAACTTGTGTTCAAGAGTATGGATCTCTCTGAAATTGTACTGCAAGGTACCATACCACAAAGGGAAGGCTGGGATTGATTTTGGGGGTAATTGCCTCAAATTTTTGAAATTAGGGGCCAAAAAGGGGCAAAAAAACAAGCATTTTTCTAGTTTCAGGACAATAACTTGTGTGTAAGTGTATAGATCTCTCTGAAATTGTACTACAAGGTTCCATATCACAAAGGGAAAGCTGGGTTTGAGTTTGGGGATAATTGCCCTTAACGTTTAGGAATTTGGGGCCAAAGAGGGGCCTAAAAACAAACATTTTTCTAGTTTCCAGACAATAACTTGTGTTCAAGTGTATGGATCTCTCTGAAATTGTACTGCAAGGTGCCATACCACAAAGGGAAGGCTGGGATTGAGTTTTGGGGTGATGAATCATAAGGGGGTTTAAAAAATTTGGGGGAGGGATATTTTTTCCTTTTTTTCCTTTTTCCATTTTAAATTGGTTATTTCTGATTTATATATAAAAGCAAATAATAATGATATGGTTTGAATAGGTAAATTAAATCTTTTTAAGTTCTTAGACCACATTCATTCTGTGTCAGAAACCTATGCTGTTTTTATATTTAGTCACAATCCAAATTCAGTGCTGTATCAAGCTTGAATGTTGTGTCCATACTTGCCCCAACTGTTCAGGGTTCAACCTCTGCGGTCGTATCAAGCTGCGCCCAGCGGAGCATTTTATCAAAATTGGAGTTATCTTCCTTTGTTCATGATTATAGTTGAATCAACTACTATCAATGCTTTATACAATGCAATGTTTAATTTTGCCTTCCACTGATAAAACACAGATCAAGTTGAATTTGGGTAGTGTCACTTTAACCATTATTGAGTTATGTCCCTTTATAAATCGAAAGATTGCAAAATTTTTAGTTTCCATTCTGTAACTTAAGTTTGACCCAACCAAACATTATGAAACCTATACACAATATTCATTACCTCAAAACTTAGATAATGTACAATTTTTTTGTTTCCGTTCTCTAACTTTAGTTTGTCTCAACCAAATGTTATAAAACTTATACACAACCGTTCTAGAGTTATGCGTGTTTACAAATGGAAAAATTGCTGAATTTTAGTTTCTGTTCTCTACTTAAGTTAGCCTCAACCAAATGTTATGAGACTTACACACAATGCTTATTACCACAAAACTCAGATCAAGTTCAAATTTGGGTAGTGTCACTTTTACTGTTCTTCAGTTATGTCCCTTTATAACTATATGATATGCAAGCGGGGGCATCATCTGTGTCCACATGTGTCCACAATCCACATTTATTTTATGTTTCTATAAAATGCTTTTGGAAACTTGAGGTGACATGGTTACTAAAGCTTGTTAACAGGAGAAATAAAATGCTCCGCTGGGCGCAGCTTGATACGACCGCAGAGGTCGAACCCTGAACAGTTGGGGCAAGTATGGACACAACATTCAAGCTTGATACAGCACTGTGGATTGTGATTAAATATTTGACACAGCATAGGTTTCTGACACAGAATGAATGTGGTCTAAGAACTTGAAAATTTTTGAGGCAATTATCCCCGAAATCAATCTCAGCATTCCCTTTGTGATATGGAACCTTGTGGTACAATGTCAGAGAGATCCATACACTGACACTCAAATTATGTCTGGAAGTTACAAAAGTGCTTATTTTTGGCCCCTTTTTTGCCCCTAATTCCTTAACTGTTGGTACCATAACCCCCAAAATCAATCCATACCTTCCTTTTGTGGTATTGAACCTTATGGTAAAATTTCATAGAGATCCATTCACTTAAACTAAAGTTAGAGTGCGAAAACCAATGTGTCTTTGGACGACGACGACAATGACGCCAACGTCATACCAATATGGACGCAAATTTTTTTTGCGGTCGATAGAAAGGGTTTAAATTTGATTGGTTTACTTCTGGTGATGGTTATTATCTTATATGCAATGAAATACTATGTGAAATTTTCACTGAAGTGCTGGACAGAATAAAACTTTACTCAAGTATTTCTTTATTTGAAACAAAGATAAATTCTGCACAATTTTTTGAAAAATGCCAATTTAACAAAGACTAATACCGGAAAAAAATAATGGTGGTATTACTCCTTGAGTTGAGTTATCTCAATGATAGGTTTGTGCACCATGCACTACTTTCTGCAACTTGTGTAATAAAATGGTTTTCTTGACAAGTATGCGAAAACACGTGCATATCATTTTGTAAACTGAATATTTAGTATAAAATTAAACTATGAATAAATTGCTTAACATGGGCATGGATACAATCTTATAAATATTACCTCTTTGTTCTATATTGTGTGTACTAACAAAACAGGTAGAAAAGATGGCTGAAATAAAGCAAATCAGCAGAAACTAAGGACATTTGATTGCACTTTGTGCAGTTTTTAACCCCAAAACTACTATGAATTTTTGAAGAATGACTGGAATTACTACTTCCCATGTTCTATGGTTGACATTATATAAATAACACATAGCTGAGAGGGTGATATAGCAGATTGTTACCCCGAGAAAACATTGTCAACTGAGGCGAGGGGTAACAATCTGCTCTATCACCCTCTCAGATATGTGTTATTTAATTTATTATACTGAATGTTCTGTTATTATGTCTATTAAATTTCAAATTTAAAGTAATAAACTATGACGTCTTGTACATAACAACCATCTGTATTTAATAAAGCGCACACCTGAATAAGCGTCTCTGTGAAGTGTGATAGAGTATTTACCATAGAATAGAGTAAATTGTCTCCCTCGTATTAACCAATCAAAATCTGGCATTTTGACATGAAGTATAATAACATGAGTTGGTTTATCTCAACTCACTGGCATGTTAACTTTAACATTGATTTCTCAGGTTATCCTATGTCAATATGACATTATATTGTCATGATCCTGTTCGTAAGACTTTAAGCTGGGTGTAGTTCTAATTAATGGTGTGACAGGTGATGCGGACTTAGCAGGATATATGTACATTGTCAATGCACCAATGTTCACACAGTTTTGAGGTCATTTGATTGTTTTCATTTTCATATATGTTTGTTTGTTTTGTACCTGGATTGGTATACTATCTTTATATTTGACCTGTGGTACAGACATTGAACTGACTTTTGTTGAAGATCTTAATAAGTTGACTTCTACATCTTTTCTTTTTTCTTTCCTTTTTAAGTATCCAACATCTCCTTTCAATCCTATTAAATGCAATTTATTGTCCAAAAATATAAATAGTACCAGTTGTGGTGCCAAGCACTCTATTTCTGAAATTGCTTAACCAACAGAACACCAGCACATCAAGGTATGAGACAAATAAAACTTTACATAGTAAGATAAAATGGATATACTACATGCATTAGCTTTGTTTCACTAGATATAATTATACTTGTGGAAGTATCATCTATGAAATAGCATTACCAATTCACTTTATAAGGGTCTACATAAAAAACAAGCAAGTCTCTGTCTTTAGGGTGACAACTTAATTTTGACAGGAATCTGGACGCCGTTTGTCAACACTGAATGAAAGGGCATGGCTAAGCTATATGCCTCTGCTAAAGATCATCATAATATGTTACATATCTGCCATCATAAAGCAGTGAAAATGAGGTCACAACCTGAATGCTTCTGTTGGATTGAGAGATACTATAGATAAAATATGAGCACTCAAGATTGTTAACTTTCTGTAAAATGAAACCTTCATTTTTTACACCATTACTTTTAGAAAGTAACTAATGAAACATATAATTTAAGGAAAAACCAACTTTTGATGTACATGTATATATTTATTTTTGTAAAAAAAATATTTGTGATACTTACTGTGTAAATAGACCCATTAACATTTATTACAGAGTGGAAATGTGTACTTTCTATAGTCTATAGACATACTAGAATATGATAGGTCTTATGAAGGCAACACTGATTTCTTTCCTTTTAAAATCATAGTGTTAAATAAATAATTTTGCATGCATGGTTATCACTAATTTTCATAAATACTTTTTAAGTATCGCCAAGAAGGCAATCTTTCAATATTTTCATAGCTTACAATTTGCATAGATTTGTTGTTGAAATTTGAATACATTTTTTGTGAACACATTAATAACATGTTGAAATTTAAATACATTTTCTGTGAACACATTAGAAACACATTGCTGATGAGATAACAGTTGCAACTTAAAGGAAGAAAATAGGAATCCATAATTCACCCTTCCACTGGTATCCAAAATGGTCCTACATTTTTATTATTATTTCATTTCAACAATCATATTCATTTAATATAAATAAGTATACAGATAATTAGATTGAAATCATGTTTATACAAACTCAAAATATACTCTTTATAAAAGTATAAATGAGCACTGATTTTCATCTCACAACAAAAATTAGTGTTTCTGAGAAATAAATTACTACCAGAACATCTTATCATAATATTGTTATCAAACTCCAGATGATAACCAGTACATCCTATAACAATATCATCATCAAACTCCAGGTGATAACCAATACAAGAACTTCATTGTCAACTCATATCCAAAGAAACAAGCCTGCAAAACATAAAATGGAGTCATAAAAGAAAAAGCTTAATGTCCCAACTTGGTAATGTGATACATTATTTATACATTAGAGATCTTACCTGATTTTTGTAAGAAGAAAGACAACTCTGATTTATATCTTACATATACAAGAAGAAAGACAACTCTGATTTGTATCTTACATATATAAGAAGAAAGACAACTCTGATTTATATCTTACATATATAAGAAGAAAGACAATTCTGTCTTATATCTTATGGATAGGATATTTCCTTATGTCACTTCTTTAGTATAATGTTGTGTTTTTAGTTCTAATAAATAATGTATATTATAATGTTACAACTTATTTGCATGGTTAGCATGTCAGCTAAAATGGGAACTAGTTTTAACTGAGATAATATTTTTATATACGCCTTTGAAACTACTTGGTCTCACAAAAGCAAACCAATTAGGTTAAATGTATTGAAATTAGATGAATTATTACTTACCTTGCTACCAACAGATGAAAATATTATGGCCAGGAGAAAACAAAATGAACTTTATTCTACTGATAAGACAAATTTTGAAGACCACAGTCACATATTATGGACTGATTTAATAATACATACAAAGGATTAATAATTGTTCTTTATAATATATAACTTATTTATAATGAGAAACTTGCATAAACATACTTTTTGAGGTAGATTGACAATATTAAATTGAACAACCAACTATGCAACTATAGGTACATGTACCGTCATCTTGAATTTACTCAGTTTATTTATGGGCATCAATCTTTCTTTGAATTTGCATTGAGTTTTTTTTTTTTTTTTTTAAGTATCTCGAAATACAATTTGAATTAAAGACAGGCTCTAAAACACACTAGAGTTATAGGTGTGTTGACAAATTAAAAGAATATGTGATTTGACCACAGGAGGTAACTTTTGTTCAAATGTTTTCAATTCAGCCTTCAGGGGAAGGGGGAAAATAATTAAATATGATTTAGGTGTCAATCTTTCAATTTTCCACTATGTTGTATAATCTTGAGAAAACATGAATGCACATAACACATCCTGTTTTACTTTTTACTTCCTGAAAGTTTAATTCTTAATTTCATATCTTTAAAACTTCCAAACATGAATATAAAACTGAAAATTCATTCTTAAAACACAACTGTTCAAAACATAACTTACTTCTGAAATACAGATTTCAGAATTTAAATGGGTAAAGGGGTAACTTTTGCATGAATATGCTCAGTTCAGGGGAAATAATTCCATTGGATACAAGAAAAGCAAGGTAAGTCACAAAATAGGTTGATCTGACTAATCTCTACTAGGCAATTGTCAATTTCTAGCCATGTTTTTCTTTAATTCAACAAAAAATGATTTGTCTATATAATTAATCTACTGGTATATTCAATAATTAAATTTACAACCCTATTTCCTCAAAATTATGTATGGAAACCTTTTTTAAATTAAAATTTAAATGTATACATCAAACTCTCTTTCAAAAGAATTGAAGAAAAATCTGTCATATGATATTTTTATGTTTTCTGGTCTGTGCGTCCGTCCGTCTGTCCCCCTTCAGGTCAAAGTTTTTGGTCAAGGTAGTTTTTAATGAAGTTGGAAGTCCAATCAACTTGAAACTTAGTACACGTGTTCCCTATGATATGATCTTTCTAATTTTAATGCCAAATTAGAGTTTTGACCCCAATTTCACGGTCCACTGAACATAGAAATTGATAGTGTGAGTGGGGCATCCGTGTACTATGGACACATTCTTGTTAGTATCTATCTACAACTTACAGCATTTGCTGGAAAAGCCCTTAGAAATACTGGTGCTGCACCTCGATATAGAGATAAAAATCCTTCTTCTTTCATCAGCTGTTTAAATACATCTCTAATCCCATTTGGATATTTACCATGAGGAGCTGAAAAAATATATATTGTAAATTTCATACAACTATAATGTACATGATATCTTTTTAGTACAACTTTCAATTGTAAATCAGATGTATCCATACCCTGTATCAGATCTAGATAAAAATATCAATTTACAAATTAAAATGCATTCCAAATACTGTACCTTTTTCATTTTTAGTATTTCAAAATCTTAGTTATATAAAAATAAGGAGATGTGGTATGATTGCCAATGAGACAACTATTTAAATTTTTGATGACTATTTTTTTTCTAAAGACTTTAAAAACATCATAGAATAATGTTGTGTACTGAAATATTAATCTTAACATTTTAATTAACAAAATTGCCATTGAAGGACAATAACTCCTACAAGTTGACTGACAATTTTGGTAAAAATGGACATGAGGCAGATCTTCACATTCTAAAATTTTTGCCACTACCAGATTTTCTCTATTTATACCAGTTTTCAGGATATTGGACAAAACTTCATTGTACCCCTCAGCTCTATTTTTAGCAATGTTGGCCATCTTGGTTGGTCACCTGATTCACCGGACACAATATTAAACTTTATACTCTAAGGGTGTTTGTGGCTAAGTTTGGTTGCAATTGGCTTTAAAAATAAGAAGATATGATATGATTGCCAATGAGACATCTCTCTACAAGAGACCAACTGACAAAGAAATTAACAAGTATAGGTCACCGTACAGCCTTCAACAATGAGTAAAACCTATACCACATTGTCAGCTAGAAAAGGCCCTGAAATGACAAATGTAAATCAATTCAAACGAGTAAACTAAAGGTCTGATTTATGCACAAAATAATGAACGAAAAACAAATATGATATACAGCAACAAACAACAAGCAATGAAATATAGGCTCCTGACTTTGGACAGGCACATACAGAATGTGGCTGGGTTAAACAAATTTAAAGGCGCCAACCATCCCCCTAACCAGGGACAGTGGTGTAACAGTACAACATGAGAACAAACTATAAAAATCAGTTAAAAAGGGCTTAACTCATTAGATAGATACAAAGCAGAAATACATCTAACAAAAACACAGAGTAGACGTAGCAGGGTACCTATACATCCCCACAACAAAAAGACACTAAGTACAGATCTGAGAGTACTCACAGTTACTGACAGCTAGTTAAAAGCCAATCACAACTAATAAAAAATGGAGAATGTGTCCCCATGAACACAGATGATGCCCCCGCTTGCATACAACATTATAAAGGGACATAACTCAAGAACAATAAAAGTGACGATACATAAATTTGTACTTGATCTTAGTTTTGTGGTAATGAATATTGTGTATAGGTTTCATGTTTGGTTGGGACAAACTTAAGTTACAGAACGGAAACTAAAAATTTTGCAATTTTTCGATTTATAATGGGGCATAACTCAATAATGGTTAAAGTGACACTACCCAAATTCAACTTGATCTGTGTTTTATCAGTGGAAGGCAAAATTAAACATTGCATTGTATAAAGCATTGATTGTAGTTGATTCAACTATAATCATGGACAAAGGAAGATAACTCCAATTTTAAAAATTACTTGAACAATGACATCATTGATATTTTTAGAAAAAAAATAAAAAATTTAGCAATTTTTCCATTAGTAAAGGGACATAACTCTAGAACAGTAAAAGTGACGCCACCAAAATTCAAACTTGACCTGTGTATTGTGGTAATAAGCATTGTGTATAAGTTTGATAACATTTGGTTGAGGCAAACTTAAGTTAGAGAACGGAAACCAATTTTGGGACGGACGTACGTACGGACAGATGGACAAGGGTAAAACTTAATGCCCCCTCCGCTTCAGCTGGGGCACAAAAAATCATGCATCTAAGACTAAAATATCAATCAGTACACATCCAACATCCAATGGATTTAGTGTAAAGACATCACTAACAGTCAGAGAAAAACATGCCCTTGTGCAATGCCAAGATACAGGTACTGACAGATTGTAGAGCCATGAATGTGCATATGTATATAAAAATGATATATAGTGAAATTTTAATTTACTGATAACAAAATCAATATTAATACCAATAAAAACAATATTCAAAGATCTAGTTATAGTGTTGAATTGGTAACCTTTTAGAATAAGTTTATTTAAAGGATCAATAAGTTTACCCGGATTGTATCTAAATTTTCGGGCTCTGTAAACAACATCTCTGTAAAAATTAGGATGTGCTATCCTGTTTGAAATAAGTTTTCTACATGTACAACCAATCTTCCAAACCAAACCATTATATCTATGGAAGAATTTAGTGAAAGTTTTAAGTAATTTTTGGTAACGAAATCCCTGACATAATAATTTACCAGTAATACATAGATTACATTCATTGAAATCCAAAACGTCACAACAGAAACGGGCATAGCAAACGAGTTTTGGTATATTAACACCATAAGATGGTGCCAAAGGAACATCACCATCCAAAAAAGGAAAATTAACAATAGTCAACGAAAATTCATCTCTTTTGTCGTAAATTTTAGTGTAGAGTTTCCTGTGTAAAACTGAAATATTTAAATCTAGGAAAGGACAGTTATTACCGCTTATATTTGATTTATTCAAAGTAAGTTCTTTTGGGTAAATTTCTGCAGTATATTTAGAAAATTCTTGATTATTTAACAACAAAAAAATCAAGATAACAGTAAGTGTTGTTAAATTCATCAATTAAAATGCAACCAAGATGGCCAACATGGCTAAAAATAGAGCTAAGGGGTACAATGAAGTTTTGTCCAATTTTTTTTACTGAGTTTGGTCATAAACTGTGATTCATAGTACAAGAACAAATCTGATATTAAAGGGGTGCAATTGGTGCCCATAGGAATACCTACAACCTGTCGATAAACTTTATTGCCGAAACGTACATAAATATTATCAAGGAGAAATTACACAGCTTCAATTTTTGTCATTTTTACCTATTATGTCTGTTTGTTTTGCTCACACATTGTTGTCAATATTATGGAATTCTATGCGACTGTCATACAAGTGAGAGGTTTAGCTAGCTATAAAACCAGCTTTAATCCACCATTTTTCTACATTAAGAAAATGCCTGTATCAAGTCAGACAGTTGTTTTCCATTTGTTTGATGTGTTTGAGCTTTTGATTTTGCCATTTTATAAAAGACTTTCTGTTTTGAATTTCCCTTGGAGTTATTTTACTTTTTTCAGAGTAGATGGCTCTAGAAAAGTTAACGAACAACGACTGATGTCTGTCACCATGTATTGTGAAAAGCTTACATTAGGCATTTTTGAAAATTAGGCTTAAAACAGAATGTCAGGCTAGCTCAAAACCCTGGTTTCACATAAAAATTCCAGATTCTTCTTAAAATCACTTCATATTGTTGTTTGTTCTGATTTTACAGAACTATATTCCATTCTTCATACCTGTTTGGTATCTTGATTTTAAGACATCCTGAGGAAGAGCTACAGCCCAGTTAAATATTCCAGCCATACCACCAGCAAATAAAGTTCTACCAACGCTCAAATCTGTTCGACTGTAATTCAAAATAAATTATTTTTAACATATTCCTGTGATAAGAAAAATTCCATATAAAAAATATTTATATATACATCAATTTCATTATCATGAGTCACTTAACTAAATATTTGGTTTCATCTGCCTAAGAATATCAACAAAGCACAAAATATTAGAAAAATATGGCATCAACATTTCAAAATTCATATATACCTGAAAAGCTTTTTGAGTGAAGTTAAATTGTGTTGTCCTTTGTAAATATTACAGGCAGAATATCTATTACAACCCAGGGCTTCCAAAATTATTTTTAGCCAGCCGGACATTTTATATATTATCCCTTAAGACTAAATAAACAAAAGGCAATTATGATAATCAGTTGCCGAGCTGGCCATCCCAATGATTGACATTAAAAAAAAACGATATTAAACTTTCTTTGATTCAAATTCGAAGTTCTGACGTAAACTGTTAAATTGGCAGTGCATCATTCGAAGTGTGCAACATCAGCGTACTTATATCTGCCTTAGACTCTTTATTTGTGCAAAATAACGTTGTCAAAAACTTTACTTTCGTTTTTAAATCTAATACCAGATGTTGTCTTGACAATGGTAAAACATGGACCAGAGACCGATACGTAAATTCCGTGTACGTTTGCAAAGCATGAATGAGTGTGAGTTGCTCTCTCTACATTATTTCTTCAAGAAAATATTCGAAATAAACGTGAGATAAAGGTATCAATGACAATTTAAGCATTTTTTGAAGAAATTAGAATGCATAATTAAATTTCACACCTGTGCACATGCGCACACGTGTACTGGTTCAAACAGAGACACAATGTGGTTATGACGATTTTTCATTTTCACCTTTTTAATTTTTTCATCAAATCATATTTGTAAACGTATTTCTGATAATTTAAATCTTTTTGACTACAATAATTAGATGCAAACCGCTGAAATGTAAGAAAATAACTTTGAATAGACCGATCAATGTCCAGTTCAAAATAGTTTACCTGTCACCTGAACAGGTAAATTTCAGCTGTTCGACAACTAATTAGCCTTGTTTAAAATGAGGGGGTTGTTTTGATAGTACTTAATGATCATGTCACTTTTATGACCGGAAATGTGTGGCTGTTAAAGGCAAAAGGTTGGGTTAAAAAGATTGCGAATTATGTTAAAATGACCGTCTCTTAAGAAAGCCTTGAAAACTCAATGTCCGGAATATATGACCGTTTTGGAAGCCTTGTTACAACCTAGCAAGATAATAGTATACCATTTGTTTAGTGTACTTACTCATGTCCTGCAGGAGTTAATGTATGTTGTAACCATTCATAAGTCATAAAGTACATTCCACTGGCAGGTACATCTGTAATAAAATTCACTTATTTCTATATTCAATGCTTGGTGATAATAACAGTATCAATGCACCTTTTCTCTTTTTATTTAAATATTTCTTAATGAGCACTTCAATTTTTTTTTCACTTTATAAATCATTCAAGCAAGAAAACCTGTAAACAATCTACTAGCCTATTACTGACTGTAGTACAGCAGACACAATAGGATCTGTGTTCCCCAATAGCAAATTTTTGTCTGCATTTTCAATTGCCACTGCAATGCAATGATTTTGCAATAGTGTACAACAGATTTTGATCTTTGTTACCTTTTGCATCTTCCGTACCAATAGCCAGTAATGTGGTGTAATGTATGAATGAAATCATCTAATTTTTTGCACACCCTGAAGTTTGAAAACAAGCATGGTGAACTACTTTGCATTAATTTTTTTTCAAAACAGCATACATACAAAGGCTGCTATCCAAATTAAAATCAATGGATGTTAATATATAATTGTACCTCTGAGTAACGTGGCACCAGTGCCTCTGTAAACGCTTCTGATACCACCTTCCTTATAAAGCTTCTTAGCACAGTCCAATGGACCATCATATAACTTGCGATGGGAATCTGCTTGAATCTACAAATTAGGATAACAGAATAATTATCAATTGTTTCATTGTATATGGTGTATAAATTTACAAAAATAAGTATTTTTCAATGGCTAATATAATTATTTTATAAGCTTCACCCTTGAAATTTTCCTGTAGTAATCCCTTAATATTGAACAAAAATTGTCTTTCTTGTCGTAAATTTTTGTAAAAAGTTTCTGAGTGAAACTGAAATATCTGAACCTAGAAAAGGACACTTATTACTGTTTTATGTATTAGATTTATTTTAAATTACTTCCCTTTGGAAAATGTTAATGGTATTATTAGAGAATTCTTAGAGAAAACAAGCATTCTGAGAGTATTGCATGGCAATACATAGTCCCCTACCGGTTAAAAATTCATTGTACTGGAATAAAATGCTACCATGATCTATAACTTGTCATGGTTTAAACTATATAACAAATATTAAGTCAATATCTTTAAGCATGTTGAAAACTGATTATTTGAGTGAATTTTTCAAGTCCAAGGACCATAACTCTGCACAAAACCATCAGAACGGAACAAAATTCGAACTTGGTCTGTAACTTGTCATGATAAAACTATATACCAATTATCAAATCAATATCTTCAAGCATAACAAAAAAAGGGCAGAAAAACTGATTATAAGGGTGAATTTTTAAGTCCAAGGACCATAACTCTGCACAAAACCATCAGAACGGAACAAAATTTGAACTTGGTCTGTAACTTGTCATGATAAAACTATATACCAATTATCAAATCAATATCTTCAAGCATGACAAAAAAAGGGCAGAAAACTGATTATAAGGGTGAATTTTTTAAGTCCAAGGACCATAACTCTGCACAAAATCATCAGACCAGAACAAAATTTGAACTTGATCTGTAACTTGTGATAAAACTATATACCAGTTTTCAAATCAATATCTTCAAGCATGATGAAAAAAAGTGTGGAAAACTGATTATTTGAGTGAATTTTTTAAGTCCAAGGACCATAACTCTGGACAAAATCATCAGACCAGAACAAGATCTGAACTTGATCTGTAACTTGTCATGATAAAACTATATACCAATTATCAGATCAATATCTTCAAGCACGAAGAAAAAAAGTGTGGAAAACTGATTTGCCGGACTGACGGATGGACAGACGGACAGAGTGCAAACCTAAAGTCCCCTTCGACTTCGTCGGTAGGGGACTAAAAATATACAAGGTTACGGTAAATGTTATTAATTTTTCTATTAAATGAAATTTATATGGATCTTTACTGGATTTGGCCATAAACTGTGATTCATAGCAATACCTGAACAAGTCTGCTATTAAAGGGGTGCAGATTTAGGACCACAAATCACAAGCTCGCTATTGAACAGGGTAGATGGAATAATATAGTTAGAAACAATAGACTTTGACTTCTATGTAATAAAAGTGATATTGGCGATGAATTTCATTACTTATTAGAATGTAAATACTTTGAAGAAAACAGGAAACATTGCATGTCACATTATTATTTTAAAAATGCAAATATTGTCAAATACAAGCAGATTATGTCTTCAAAAAACAAATCAGAATTGATTAAACTGTGTAAATTTATAAAGATTATTAACACAGGTATATGTGCTCCTGGCTAAAATGTACTTCATATATTGTCTTAGTAACTATATTGTTCATAATTGTCTTCTCTATACCTACATGTATGTATATGGTTTATTGAGAATAAAAGATATACACTCAAAAAGAATCTAAGATTTGGTGTATAATCAACACTGTTACAGTTGTTTATGCATGAGTTTTACCCTCAGGGCAGAAAAAGGACTCCAATGCATTTTGAGTTATCCAGTATTTCATGAAATAGTATAAGTATTTTGGATAGGTAGTAGTAGTTGATACTTGAATCATAACTTAAATTATATATGGGAAATGAATATATGGTGGTGGAACTCTTGTATGACTCGTGGAGGTATTGTCTCTAACATCAAAAAATGTGGATAGTGTCCACATGTGGACACAGATGATGCCCCCGCTTGCATATCATATAGTTATAAAGGGACATAACTGAAGAACGATAAAAGTGACGCTACCCAAAGTTGAACTTGATCTTAGTTTTGTGGTAATAAGCATTGTGTGTAAGTCTCATAACATTTGGTTGAGGCTAACTTAAGTAGAGAACAAAAACTAACTAGAGGCTCTAAAGAGCCTGTGTCGCTCACCTTGGTCTATGTGCATATTAAACAAAGGACACAGATAGATTCATGACAAAATTGTGTTTTGGTGATGGTGATGTGTTTGTAGATCTTACTTTACTGAACATTCTTGCTGCTTACAATTATCTCTATCTATTATGAACTTGGCCCAGTAGTTACAGTGGAAAATATTTTGTAAAAATTTACAAAAATTTACAAAATTTATGAAAATTGTAAAAAATTGACTATAAAGGGCAATAACTCATTAAGGGGTCAATTGATAATTTTGGTCATGTTGACTTATTTGTAGATCTTACTTTGCTGTACATTATTGCTGTTTACAGTTTATCTCTATCTATAATAATATTCAAGATAATAACCAAAAGCTGCAAATTTTTCTTAAAATTACCAATTCAGGGGCAGCAACCCAACAACGTGTGCCTGATTCATCTGAAAATTTCAGGGCAGATAGATCTTGACCTGATAAACAATTTTACCCTACAAGGCTTTGTTTTCAGAGATATAAGCCAAAATCTACATTTTACCCCTATGTTCTATTTTTAGCCAAGGCGGCCATCTTGGTTGGTTGGCCGGGTCACCGGACAAATTTTTTAAACTACATACCCCAATGATGATTGTGGCCAAGTTTTGTTTAATTTGGCCAAGTAGTTTCAGAGGAGAAGATTTTTGTAAAAGTTAATGACGACGGACGACAACGACGGACGCCAAGTGATGAGAAAAGCTCACTTGGCCCTTTGGGCCAGGTGAGCTAAAAATTCAGCAATTTTTTCTATTTGTAAACACGCATAACTCTAGAACGGTTGTGTATAAGTTTTATAACATTTGGTTGAGACAAACTAAAGTTAGAGAACGGAAACGAAAAAATTCAGCAATTTTTATGTTTATAAAGGGACATAACTCAAGAATGGTAAAAGTGTCGCCACCAAATTTCGTACTTAATCTGTATTATGTAGTAATAAGCAATGTGTATAAGTTTCATAACATTTGGTTGAGGCAAACTAAAGTAAGAAAACGGAAACAAAAAATTTGTACTTGATCTTAGTTTTGTGGTAATGAATATTGTGTATAGGTTTCATAATGTTTGGTTGGGGCAAACTTAAGTTACAGAATGGAAACTAAAAATTTTGCAATCTTTCCATTTATAAAGGGGCATAACTCAATAATGGTTTAAGTGACACTACCCAAATTCAACTTGATCTGTGTTTTATCAGTGGAAGTCAAAATTAAACATTGCATTGTATAAAGCATTGATTTTGTAGTTGATTCAACTATAATCATGGACAAAGGAAGATAACTCAAATTTTAAAAATTACTTGATATTTAGAAGAAAATAAAACTTTTGCAATTTTTCCATTTATACAGGGGCATAACTCTAGAACAGTTAAAGTGACGCCACCAAAATTCAAACTTGATCTGTGTTTTGTGGTAATAAGCATTATGTATAAGTTTCATAACATTTGGTTGAGGTAAACTCAAGTTAGAGAACGGAAACCAATTTTTGGACGTAGGGTAAAACTTAATGCCCCCACCGCTACGGCGGGGGCATAAAAAAATTAGGTAAACTGTTAACACAGAGATATGTCTCACCTATTTGTTATTTTGATAATGCAAATGTTGAAATTAAAATAGCAATACTTTAACATGTAAGTTATGCAAATATTCAAAGTCAATGAACCATGACTGAAGGTACAGGGCTAAACAATCTCCATGGAAATGAGATGTGCCAATGCTAATACAACTGCAAACCAAATACCATTGACTTTTCATAAGTCATCCCTTTAAACAAATCTTAACACAAACAGTAACTTGTAAACTATGTAAAAGTTTCAAAGTCAATGAACCATAATTAGTTATAGTTATATAATCTCCATGGAAATGAAACTTGCAAATGCCAATACATTTGCATACTGAATATCATTGACTTAACATTAGTGGTTCATCTTAAACTGACCTAATCACAAACTAATACATGTAAACTAAGCAAAAGTTTCAAAGTCAATAAACTATGACTGAGGGGTAAGGACCAAATATTCTCCATGGAAATGAGATGTGCTAATGCTTATACAACTGCATATCAATATCATTGACCTACCACTAGTGGTTCCCCATAAACTGACCTAATCACAAACTAATACATGTAAACTAAGCAAAGTTTCAAAGTCAATAGACCTTGACTGAGGGGTGGGGCCAAATAATCTCCATGGTAATGAGATGTGCCAATGCTAATACAACTGCATACGTAATATCATTGACCTACTACTAGTGGTTCACCATGAACTAGACCTAATCACAAACTAATACATTGTTGACGCCGTCGCCGAAGCCGGAAACAGCATACCTATGTCTCGCTTTTTGACTCCGTCAAGGCGAGACAAAAACTATATTGCTAGAAAATGCAAAAGATTGATGGATAAGTTTCATCACCAGTTCTATTTAGAAAATTATACCTGTAATAAACATTTAATTCTTTCTCCAGGTGCCATAATAGCTGTGGTAAATACCCCTGATAACATACCAGCTTTAAATAGCTGTGGATATCTACAATTTAATCAACTTTTTTAACAATACATGTTATCACTTTTGACAAATGTGCATCAAAATGCAAGAAACAAATGATTATCTGATTTTTGGAACAAAAAAAAGATGATATGCCACATAATAAGTTAATGACAGGTAACTTGTGCTTGCTAAAACACTATACATGTATTGATTAACGTATCTCACTGTGTGTTGACAATATTGTTTAAAAAATAAAGCATAGCCAGTGGAAAATGTTGCACATGCACTTAAACTATTTACAGGAATGTACATATTATATACCTTGCCATGGTGCTTCCTGAATAGATTTTACAATAGAATGTATATTATAAGTATATAAAATTTAAAAATTTAGTGGAAACAAATCAGTACTTGATAAATACCAGGTATCAATTTTTTAATTTTTCTAACTGAGTTTCCTTAGAAAAGACAGAGACATCTTGTGTTCTGAGCAAACAGTAGAGTTTGAACAAACAAATAAGGTTATCCTATAATATCTAAAACAGGCCATTTACTTCACTCTTAATATGCTTCATATTTTATAATTTTGAACTTCTATCGTATTCACTGTAATAATACTTTTGACATGATTAATTAATATCTTACGTAAGGTCATCTGTTGGGTGCTTTTGTTGAAGTTTTTTACCAATTCCAAAACCTAAGAAACAAACAGCAAACATAGGTGAAACTCCAGCTAATGGAGCTGCCATTCCTTTGTACAATCCTTTGATACCCTGTAAGCAATTAAACTAAAATAAACACAGCAACTGGTATTCTATTTTGGATCTGACCATTACTATTAGAAGGTATTTTTTATTTTAATTACAATGGTCATTAAAGTTGTTTAACAGCGATCAGAGTAATCATCAGACACAAAACCCTACAACAGCATTCAGAGGATTAATTCTACCATTTTTGTTCTCAGAGTTATCAGACCTCATTAAAAATAATAATGGATACTACTCTAATTGAATTCATAGTAATCCAATTCATTAAATACATGTTTTAAATGCATATTACATTCAAAGTACTATTTTTGTGTTAGTATGATTCCTCAAATGATGATTGCCAAGCTGGTCTAAAATTGCACCAATGATTTCATTTGACTATTCTTTTAGGGTCTTACTTGTATTATGAAACTTTTCAGCTTTTCTTCAATGTTTTTCATTTGTTGAGTTTGTTAAAAGTGATATCCAAGAGACAGCTTCTGTACCTGTTTTTTTTAATTGATTTTACACCTACCTCTTTCTTTATTGTAATTGTAGCACAGTCTATAGTGCCTTTATAAAGCGGTGCTTGTCCAGGTTTTGGTTTCGGCATGGTTTGAAGTCGCACCTGAAAAAATATGTTCATTTATGTATTAAAATGTATACATAGATTTTTTTTTATCTATTTTGCTTACACTATTGTATTTCTTCATTTTTGTAATTACATTTTGTGTTTTCTATTTTTTCTTCTTCAAACTAAAATTTAGTATCACTATTGGTTGATAATTTTGTAATGAATGTGTATAATAATATAAACTTTTTATTAAATAACAATTCATATATAATCCTTAAATTGACTTCCTCTTTCATTTCAGACAGTTTGAACCTGGTAAAGCTGAGCAAACACTATATAATTGTCAATGTGTCTTTAATTCATAGTCATTGTTTATAATATTACATATTAATATAGTCATTGTTTACAACACTTATTATGTACGATCAATTATGTAATTAATATGCCATGAGCCTTAACCATTTATTGTTGGTGAGTTTGTGCTAATCAAATATTTGTATTTATTTGTATTTGTGTTGATTCCAACATTTTTACACAAATCACTATTGCATGGATAATTCTGAGCATCTTAATTATCTTGGGACCGAGGTGACTGAGTTCAGGGTAATTTTCAATCATAAATGGAAGTATACATGATGTTTGCCCCCAAAAATAGAACCATTCTGTATTCTGATAATCAGGGAAGCCTTTTATTAACTGTATATTTTGCTTAAACGGGTGCTATGATACAAACTAAAATTAATTCTATTTTTATCAGCATTTGCAGCATGAACAGTTTCAACAAATTTATTAGGGATCTGTAGCTTAATGAGTACAGAATGTGCCAATGTGATGGACCATCTTGACTTTTTGAGTATTTGAATTCAATGCTGAAAATCCTTCTATGACTGTCAAGGTCCTAAACAGTAATATCATATTTCAGTTAGTTGTCTGTATTTTATGAGATTTCCCATTTTAATCAACTCCATGTCCTTTTTCAACAAAAAATAAAGGAAAAGTGTGAATGGAGGTGTTTTTTTTTACTGTCATTTAAAGTAAATTAAGTATCTTTTCCTTGTACAATGTGTGTTATTCTCAATGTATATAAACATTCATATACATGTATATATCTTATATACACAGGCTTTGAGAAAAAGACAGCAATCCAAAAACTTTAACCCAATACTGAAGTTCATCATAACAAATGGATGCGTCTACACCTCAAAAATTACTCTGAGTACAGACAAACCTGTGCAGATGGAAAAGTTTTTAAAAGATATATACAAGTTAAATGTATTTTGTGTTTCTGGATGGTAAATCTTTTTGGATTTTGATGGAAATTTTTTTTTGTTTCATGTGTAAAAATAAACAAAGTTGGGTCAAGCTTTTTAGATCTCAGGTATTAAACAATTATATTGCATTGATAGTAGGATAATAGATATCTACACAACAAAAGTTGATTTAATCGCTATAAATGAGTGGACAGTATCAATTATAATTCAGTTGTTTGTTTATTTAAACAATCTTCTGAAGTGATGTAAAATAATGAATGTTCAATTAAAAAAAAAAATTTTTTTAATTTCTGAAACACATTCCACTCTTCAAAATTCAATAGTCTATCCTAAATTGAGGTAAATTATATGGCCTTCCAAATACCGTTTCGATTCCTTACATCACTGAAGAGACATAAATTGTCGAAATCCGGACATGGTGTACTAATTTTTGCACCTTTTGTTTGCGGTATACCATTTTTTCCGCAAGTTTATTGTTTTCTGTTAGGTATTAAATTAATAGTTAAGATCCATTTTGCTACATCTGGTGATCCGTTTATTTGGCAATCGTCAATGGCAGTCAGCAGGGTTTAAGAGCATCCGTTGTTCGACCAGCTAGTCAAATGCGTTTTGTTAAAATATACTTTTTCACTTTTTTGGTCTTTTGGAAAATGTTGTTTGTGCTGTATTTAAGACCACTCTACCAAAAAATTTGTTTTGCATGCACACGTATAAAAATTGCGGTTTTTATCCAACACAATCATAGGTTTGAACGTTGTTGACTTTGTTATATGTTATATTTATAGTATTTGAAATATTTCATTACTATCATGTGTTCACCTTTGATGCAAATCTAGTGCTGTTAACGTGTCTATAAACTGTTATGAATATAATTATAATAAATAAAATAAATATTATAAATATGCAACATGTGTTTTATTGATTTAGAATACTATCTGAATAGAACTATGCATTACATTAAAACAGGGACAGTCTATACTAAAGGGACTCGTCTCTATTGATTTTAATTAATAACTAAGCCTCCCGTGTAAAGCTATCACCCAACAATAAACTTAGTTTCGTATCTCTGATATACGAAGCTAGTAGTTATTTGCGTAGTTATTTGCCTATTTCAAAGTACATTGTAATTTAATAATTGTTAATACAAATGTATAAAATCTGATTAATAGCCATTTACCATGACAAAAAATATAAGATTTTAAAAGAATGTTAAATGATTAAACTGAGACATATCGTTTTAAACACTGCAGTCATACAAAGGGGGTTACATATCGAACAAGATGGCGGCCACTCGAAATTTACTAACAAAATATTTTAAAGTTCAAAGATCTATATTTAAAAAACTATCCGTGAAATCTTTTCAAAAACAGCATTTTGCAATGACAAAATGTATAAAATTTCATAAATATGTTACTTCATTACACTTGAACATATAGTTATGAAGAACACTTCTTAAATGTGAAATGGTTTGCTATGAAGTCACGTGACATCAGCGACGGCACAGTTCTGTCTGCAAAATTGTATAGACATTGTTATAAGTGACCAGTCCCGTTAGTATAGACTGTCCCTGATTAAAACTAGTACATGAATGATCCCAGGTAATTTTGATTTTTGGTTCAATATATTTTGATCAAGGATTTAATAATTGATTTTATCTTTATGAGGTGCCGATCTGTCTATGTTAGGTGCCGATTTGTCTAGGTGCCATTTGTCTGGGTGCCGAAGTGTCTTTCTGGGGAGCCGATTTGTCCATTTGTCCATTTCCATTTGTCGGTGCCGATTTGTTTGGGTGCGGATTTGTTTGGGTGCCGAACTGTCTAGAATTCATCATTTTCGGGTTCACTATTTGTTAATTTGTCACTCTACATTTACATTTTGCCTTAATTAAATATTTGTCATCAAACATTAAAAATGTCTTTCCCATCTTTTAGTCACTGTTTATTTACTGTAAACAATATACGGTTCATTAAAAATCAGTATCTCTTAAAATCTAAAATGCACTTAAGAATGACTACTAGCACTGCCCACTAAAAGACTAGATGTCAGATGTCATACACAAATTTCAAACTTTTGAGAAGACTGAGGGGATGCTAGGCATTTAAATCTTTTCCAATTGCACAGGTTTTTCTTTATTCAAGTAATTATTGAGTAGTAAACACTGCTATTTTTGTCCAATTGTAATGATTCATTATGATTAACCTCAAGTTAAAACAAAGACATAAAAAAGATTTACATTTTACAAAAAAAAAACTATTTCAATCTGATAAATAATGTACTAAAGTCACCAGTTGTTATCTTATTATAACTTAACAGGTGATACAATACATCCTTCATTAAACTAAAACTGTTAACTGAATGGGATTTAAATTTAAATGAATGTATTGCTGTTTATGGAACATTAGTTTCTTGGGTCCAAAGTTCACTTTTCAGAATGTCAATGATAAGAACACTCTATGTTTTCATGATTCATATTTATTCTAGTCAATAGTTATGAAAGAGTAAATGTTTGTTTCATTTCTAGTGAAACCTGTCATCTTTACTTAAATACACATAGGAGAAAATATAGCATATCATTAGCATGTGAACAAGTATTGCAGACGATTTTTTTCGTCGTTTCCTCACTAGGTGCTATTGTTTGATTATTAGATGCTCTTATCTACCTTTATGGTATCCAGTGGTTGTCCAGTAAAAACGAGACATACTCCACCCACTCCACCAGCTATAAAATCTTTGACAGGGCTTACTTTCTTGCCCATTCTGGAAATAAGTCTTAGCTGCGGTACAAAATTACCGGAAATAAAAGAGAAAGAGTAAAATTCATAAAGAGAAATCGTAACTGGAACCATGCGTGATTGTAAACCGGATTATTTTAAGAGGATCCGAAGGGGGGTCCTTCATCTCTGTATTCTTTAATTTTTTAGGCCATTTTTCTCTATTCTTTATACTTTTTGTCCATTATTCTCTATTCTTTATATTTTAGCATCTCATTATTCTCTATTCATTATTTTTTTAGTCCATTTTTCTCTATTCTTTATATTTTTGCCCATTATTCTCTATCATCTGTAAACCCTTATCCACACCCTCCTTCATTTCGTTAATCCTTATCTTTTTAGACAATTTTTCTATATTCTTTATTTATTTTGATTCTTTTTCTCTATTCTTTATATTTGAGCACCCCATTATTATCTATTCTTTTGGCTTATTTTTCTCTATTCTTTATATTTTTTGCCCTTTATTCTGCACTTTTTGTCCATTATTCTCTAATCTATAAACCCTATCCAGACCCTTTCTTATTTTTTATTGTGTACGTTTGATTACACATGCAGGGATTTTTTAACAAATTGGCACACCCAACCCTGTGATTAACATATAAAAACCAGCGGTTGTCCCTAGTTTCGGTCTGCTTAATTTGTCTTTTTTCATTGTTGTAGTAATTCGGGTAATTGAAATTGATTTTCTCTTCTTCTTCCAAGTAAGGAACCGAATTCATACATGAATGTGTATGGTCCCAACATTCTCCAATTTACAATTAAAACTATATACAGGATGTGTTGTCTACTTCCTTTCAGAGCCTGCTTTCAAAGCAGCTCTGAATCCCTCTATTGTGTCGGCCGAGGTGACTTTAGATGGAAGTTGATTCCAATCCCTGATGGTCTTTGGGAAGAATGACTGTCCATATAGGTGTCAGTTTTTGTTCTTTCTTGATAAAAGCGGCCTATACCTCTGGTCCGGCTGTCGTTGAGGATTATATACTTTTGTGTGTCTATATTTATTATAATTTAGCCCATACTGGATCTTAAATAGCATACATAGTCTGTTGGTTTTCCTTCGTTCTTCCAGGCTTTCCCATTGAAGTTGTTTTACCATGTTTGTTACACAGCCAGGTGTTCAGTCTGTGTAGTTGTTTTTGGACAAATCTTATTGCCTGCTCTTTTTTGTACTTGTAACGATTTGATCTTTTTTGGGCTTGATGGTCCAAACTGTGCAGGCATATTCCACTGTAGGTTTACCATGGCTGTATATGCTGCTGCTTTTACTGGTTTAGTGCCGTCTTTTAGCTTTCGTCGGATAAATCCCAATTTATTTCCTTTGCCTACAATTTTGTCGATGTGTCTATCCCAGGATAAGTTGTTGCTGATGGTCACTTCTAGGTATTTGCTGGCATCAACATTGACAAGAGCATGTCAGTGAAGTTTGTATGAGGTATCTATTACTTCTTTGTTCTTCTGTGATATCCTAATTACTGTGCATTTTTTTGGCGTTGAAGCTCATTTGTCATTAATTCGCTCAATCTTTCAGTGATGTTAGGTCTTTTTGCAAAAGGTCACTGTCAGCCTGGTTGTTGATTGTTCTAAAGAGAAGGCTATCGTCTGCAAATATTTTGGTTTCAGATGACGTTGATGTTTCTGGCATGTCTTTTATGTAGGTCAGAAACAATAGAGGTCCAAGAACTGTGCCTTGGGATACGCCAAATAGTACGGGGACTTGAGAAGAGACAGCTCCATCTAATATTACGCTCTGTATTTTATTTTCGAGGAAAGAACGAATCCATTTGTTAGTTTTAGGGTTAACTCCCTAGTATTCCAGTTTTTGTAATACTTTGTCCAATGCCTTTGCAAAGTCAAGAAGGATGATGGCGACTAGGGATCCCTTTTCCAGCTTTTTTTTTGCAATGTCGTTGATGGTAATGATTAATTGTAATTCGCATAATCATTTTTTTGCGGAATCATGTTGTGCATTGGTTAGGATGTTATGTTTGTCAAAATGGTCCGTTATGCTGCTATGGACTATGTTCCAAGACCTTGCAAGTGATGGAGGTGAGGGTTTCTTATCGTCGAGTGGCAAGTTGCGAGTTACGATTGTCGAGTTGCGAGTTACGAAAGTCAAAATGCGAGTAACGAAGGTCGAGTTGCGAGTTGCGAGTATGAGCACGGAAGTCTTGTTTATCACAAGTTTACTTTTTTACCTGCATGCAGTCTTGAAACAAATGTTGTAGTTTCAGATATCAGCTGGGTATTGTACATTTTAATAAAAAAAACTGTGCTTCCTTTTCATTTTAATATCATGCATAGCCTGTCACGAGAGCACATGAAAAAAGTTTTACCCAGGTAAGTATGGCTTCAAGTTGTACTTTCAGGCATCTGCCATCTATATTTTGGAGAGGCTTAGGTTTTTTTTAAAGAATTGTTTGATTCTGAATTTCTTGAGAAAAAAAATTGTATAGAATGGAAGTGAATAAATTTAAAGATTATTTCTACTGAAAATTAGGAGAATATATATATATATATATATTGAAATTAAGTTTCTAATAAATTGTTCGGTGTTTTATTTCTAGAAATATTTGAAGATAAAAATCGAACAACATAACGTTTTACAGTGACGACATATACAGGTGTGACAATTGGAAAACAAATTCCCACCTTCGTAACTCGCAACTCGACCTTCGTAACTCGCAACTCGACTTTCGTAACTCGCAACTCGACCTTCGTAACTCGCAACTCGACCTTCGTTACTCGCAACTCGACCTTCGTAACTCGCAACTCGACCTTCGTAACTCGCAGCTCGACTTTCGTAACTCGCAACTCGATTTCTTAACTCGCAACTCGCAACTCGACAACAAGTGAATCTGTGACACAGGTCTGTAGTTGGAAGCTAAATGTCTTTCGTCCGTCTTTAATAGGGGTACCACGTTGGCATCTCTCCAATCTTGGGGACTTCACCGGTTTTAAGTGATGTTTGGTATAATTCTGTAAGAAAAGAAGCTAGTTGGTCTGTCGCTGTTTTTAGTATGAAGGATGGAATTGAGTCTGGACAAGTAGCTTTGTGTGGTTTGAGGTTTTAAAGTAGAATGTGTACTCCCTTGGTGCTTATTTTTATATCATACATGGTGGAATAGACTTTTTCCTTTGTTGGGAAAGTGTAGGGTTTCCTTTGTAAATACTGACTGGAATTGTTCTTTGAGTATTTCATCTTTGCTCTTATTATCGCTTTGTAGAAATCACATTCTGTTCGTTAATGGTGCCACTCCTGTCCATTCTTGACCTTTGCTCTATATAATTATATGACCAAATTTTTTTTCGAGTTGTTTTTATAATTTGTACTTACTTCTTCCATATATTGTTTGTTGACTTGCTTGACTTCCCACTGTACTTCTTGTTTGAGTCTCTTATATCTATCCATGTCTCCTTTCTTTTATGTTTTCCTGGCCTCCTTGTAGTTTTTTTTGCTTTTGATCAATTTTCCATCTAATAGTGGTGTTTATCCACGGAAGTGTGTGTCTTTCTTGGCTCATTTTAGTTGTTACTCTCTTCTCTATGGTGTTTTGGATAGTTTTTTAGAACGCTTGCCACATGGTTTCAACATTTCTGTCTATGGTGTTTGTGAAAGTTCCGTTGAAAAGGGCTAAATCTTCTTTTATCTAGTGTATTTCTGCTTTCTTCCATAAATACATTTTCCTTCTCACTGGCTTTGGTTTAAAAGGTTTGCATGCCAAGTCTAGTAGGACGATTTCATGGTCATGCACTGTTTCCTATTGATGGTAATTTCTTATATTGTCATATCTAATTATAATTGTTAATTGTAAATGCCCCTTGTGGGACTGATTGGAAAAATAAAATATTTGATTTGAAATGATTTGGTAATGGTTTGCATCGTAATTTAAATGCTGGATGAGAGATTAGGTCCAAAGTGTTGTCTTTACGTGTTGTGAAGTATACAATTTATTCCAATCCATTGTCAGCTACAATCTCCAAGAAAGTTTGGTTAGTCCTAATAGGATATTATCTATTTGTTAGGGTTTATTCTGACCATTTAATAGATATAGGAAGATGTGGTATGAGTGCCAATGAGACAACTCTCCATCCAAGCATGGAAGTATTATATTGACAATATAATACTTCCATGATCCAAGTAACAATTTATAAAAGTAAACCATTATAGGTCAAGGTCTGGTAGGTTGAAGTCGCCTCCAATTAAGAAGATATCTCTCTGATGTTTCATTCTGATGGTATTTATTTCATTTTGTTTGGTTCAGATATGTGTCGTCAGTTTTATCAGGCTGTAATAATTTTTTAACAGCTATCATTACTCATCCGCGAGGGTCTTTTGGGCAATCTCTACGTTCCATATGTTTCTGTGCCTATGATTATGTCTGGTTCGGTTGAATCAATAAATGTTTCTAGTAGTTTGCCTTTTTTCCTTAGACTTGGGCACTTGATGTTTACAATTCTTAACTGTTTCTTTGGTACTGGCTTGGTTTTAGTTGGTTTAGGTGATGATGTCATGATCAGTATATCTGTACTGAAAGTTGAACAGCAATCTAATTAAAATATAGAATTCGGATTTCGTTAAACTACATAGAATTCGGATTTCGTTAAACTACATATATGTAGTTTAACGAAATCCGAATTCTATATTTTAATTAGATTGACATAGTAGATTTGATGATTTTAAGACAAATTTAAGAATGTTTTTCCTCGATGCTTCCTTTGCATATTTTGAAAGCATTCAAATCAGTAATATTTCATAAAATAAGAGATAAATTCATCATTTTCGATTTTCAATTAAAGCTCAACGTGCTAAAGTTATATGCAAAATTTTACCAAAATCCGTGACATAGCCCATTTACTATTCCTTGACATTAAAGACTGCTCAAGGAGCTTCAGTCATTTGTTTTATTCTGTTTCATGTGAATCTACCCGGTTTCTATTTTGTTTTTATTTCTTCAAAATTTCATTGCAGTTACTTTATATACAGAATGAATTATAAGGATGTATGTTGAATTGGTTACTACTTATCAAGTACCC